TACGCCTGATACCATATTTCAGTGTTTACGTTACGGCCAACGCAAAATCTGTTTAAAATCTGGGTTATTACAGGCCATCTTGCTCATACAAAACAATCCATAGATAAAATATATATTTATTAATTGATATAGAGCGAAGCTCTAAAGCATCGCGCGAAGCGCGGTGCTTGAGCAAAGCTCTTTTCCGGTAACACAGGAGCGTAATTGAAAATGTCACCCACAGACTGTTGATTAAAAAAAAATTCAGACAGGAACCGGATACACTGGGGAAAACAGGCAATGCGCATGTCTGTCAATGCGCATGTCAGCGCATGTCAACTTACCAAATCTCGCCCAAGCGAGATTTTGGGTCTCTGAGAAATATTCTATGACGCGTCGAATAAATGACGTCAGATAATTTTGACGTCAATGAAAATCCTCACACCTTTTTGTTCTTTTTTCAATTGGGGAAACTTTATTATGAAGGTTTTATTTGACAACAATCACATCAGCTTCGCTCTACTCAGGCAAGGCCTGTTACATATACGCGGTGCTTGAGCAAAGCTCTTTTCCGGTAACACAGGAGCGTAATTGAAAAAGTCACCCATAGACTGTTGATTAAAACAAAATTCAGACAGGAACCGGATACACTGGGCAAAACAGGCAATGCGCATGTCAACTTACCAAATCTCGCCCAAGCGAGATCACGTAACTAACAAAAATAATTCTACACACCAAATCTCGCCCAAGCGAGATTACGCGCCTCATAGAACTATTTCTATGACGCGTCTAATCAATGACGTCATATATTTTTTTACGTCAATGAAAATTATTCTCACACCTCTTTGTTCTTTTTTTAAAAACAAAATTAATGTATAAAATTTAGATCTAAATAAAAATCACTTTTGAAAAACAAAATTATTTAACATTTTTTGTATCACTTGAGAAAATTAATTATGAAGGTTTTATATTTGACAATAATCAGCTTCGCTCTACTCAGGCAATGCCTGTTACATATTATAGAGCGAAGCTCTAAAGCATCGCGCGAAGCGCGGTGCTTGAGCAAAGCTCTTTTCCGGTAACACAGGAGCGTAATTGAAAATGTCACCCACAGACTGTTGATTAAAAAGCACAATACTGGATCTTCAATGAGTTACTTTCTATTTTTCACTCGGCAACCGGCTGCAGATTTCACTCGGCCAACTTCGGTTACTCCTCTACACCAAACCATGTTTCCAAACAGAATTATCTTTCCGTGACCCGCAAATTATATTTTTAACTGGTTTGCTTTTGGCGCAATATTCTGATGTTTAGGCTAACACTGTTTTTAACGGCGTCAGCTTCTTATATTTATTGGGCTACAAACACTAAACAGTTGTCTTTTATTTTCTGAGGAGATTTTCTGACCTGGGTAATGTAAATGAAGTTTGTTACTTTATAGTAGGCTAGTATTTGACTAAAACTGCATAAATCAAATCTTAATCATAGATGTACCGATTGTAAATTATTTTTTTTTGCTGACGAAGTCTTTTCTAACTTTTGGGGTAAGACTACTAAGTAGCCTACATTGAAATTAGTGCTAGTACAGTAGAAGTGGTCTTGGCGTCGGGTAATCGATATGAAAACAAGTCTACATTATAATTAGGCCTAGATATCTACCTAGTCCGACTTCATTTCAAGCATTTTATTTATACCCCTTAAGTTGTAGTAGTGACAGTTTAACTACAAGTAAGTGCAACCAACAGGGGGTCACAGTATCGTGACTCGTGGACTTGTCAGGAGTATAACTTGAGCCTGAGAATGATCAATGAGATACACACAAATGGATAAGTCTGATAATCAGTTAATAAATCAGATGTAACTTGTAAATAAAGGCACTGTATGACAGTGTATGTAGGCCTACATATGATATATATTCTAAATACTAATAAATAGGCCTAGTAGTATTGTTTTATTAATATTACCTATTTATTAATTAATAGGGTTTCAGGTCAAACTCAAAGTTTCAAATGATCAAAACGCTCTATATACCAGTCAATGCGTGGGATGGCACCAAAATAAGTGCTTTTCTGTCATATTTGAGTGACGTCATGAGTCATAAGCGGTATTTTCCCTTCAGAATCGCTATACTGGCTAGGCTCTATATAGTACCAATTTTAAAACTGAATGAAATCCGCACGTTATTGTCAGCTAAGATTTATTAAAATCATAATTATATATTATAGATCTAATTTCAAATATTATACTTAACTAATAGAATCAATTAAGCTTTTACTATCTAATATGGTCGAAGCTCAGGTCCTAAAAACGCCTTTAATTTATGGTTTCTGTTATTCTTAAATAGATATTGTTAGGGACCTCATGCTGGAGGTTCGGTCGCATGATCATTTAATGTTCGAATTCTATACAAAATTGTAAAGTCTGAAGTTAGTATCAATGTAATTTGCTTATCTGGTCAACAAAGGTCCATTTACATTGATTTTGATGGAAAATTAGATCTGAATTACATATTACATATTTAAAGTTTATATTTCTTGATTATAAAGGTAGAATTTGAAATTATTTTTTCAGTGTTTTAAATGGGTTGGTTTTTTTTTTGATGGCTTTGACCATTAAATTGAAAAAAATCAATGAAATGGACCTTTGTTGTGGTGTGGATAGGCTTGGGTGTAGGGGTGCCGGGAGCCCAAGTAGTGTCGTTAAAAAAGTATTAACATTAGTGTTACTTTACTCTTATTTTATGAAAGTTTTTTTCGCAAGTTGATTTCCTTTATTTTTTTAATGTAGAATGGTAATGAACTGCTTTTTTCCTTTTCTTTGCTTTATTTGTTCCGTTTGAATTTGATTTATCTGTTTAGTTTTTGATTGTTTAATTATTGTTTTTGTTAATTAAGTTGATTCTTTTAAACTTTGTTTTTATTTTTATACGTCCGTCGTCCACAATTTCTTGTGAACGCTCTAGAGACTAAAGTTAATATCTGATATTTACTGCCAGAGTTATAGCCCTTGATCACTTTGATAAATCTTGTGAACGCTCTAGAGGCTAAAGTTAATATCCAATGGACTCCAAATTGTTACACAGTGTGTAAGGTCATGAGACGAAGAAGCCTAATGATTTTCAGCGATATCCGATAATTACTACCAGAGTTATGGCCCTTGATCACTTTGAAAAATCTTGTGAACACTCTAGAGGCTAAATTTAAAATCCAATTGACTTTAAATTTATACACAGTGTTTAAGGTCATGAGACAAGACGCCTATTGATTTTCAGCGAGATCTGATGATTACTGCAAGAGTTATGGCATTGATATGTGAGAGACATCAGTTTAAAGTCGATTCTGGTTATTATAATCTAATGTATGAACTTTGTGTTGATTTTACCAGCCTGTAATTGTGGTATCATAATTAATTGTGATTTTAACATTTTTTTTAGTTAACTATATTAAATGAATTCCAAATGTACGTGTTGGCGAGGGGGTACATTAATAATTATATGTTTTTGTAGTACATGTTCCTTGTTTTATAATAAAACTACGCCCTTTCATTTTTCAGAAGAAAAGTATAGAAAATATTTCCAATTATCTATCTTGAGGTAAATCAGTTTATTATTTTCATTAACAGTTCTTATTTTTGTAAATTTTTATGTAAATCAACTACTTGTCATTGGAGTGCATCTCAAAATTCACTTTCCTTATCTACATAAAGTTTATGTAATAAGTTATAGTGTGTAAATTTGAAGTAAGTTCATATGTTTTTTTATTAATTATTTACAGATCACAGAGATTGAATGCTGCAGGTCTTGTGTTTAGTGTATAGACTAATTGGTGGATGTTATTAACATTAACCTTTTAGCAAAGGTTAGCTTGATGATGTTACTGACTTTGCAGTGTAGTGGAAGATATTAACCTAACTTTGGTAGACAACAAGCCTAACCCTGAAGTCAACGATGTACAATATGTCAGTGTCACTGTTCCACTACCAAACGTAACGCGAATATAAACAATACTTACGGGTACATGTATTTACTTTGATTGAAATGAGGTCAACTTAAAAATTTGTGTAGATGTGTTATTTGTTGTAACAGTTATATCCATAAAAGTTATATCCATAAAATGTAAATTGTATTTTCTCTATATTAGTATAACAGATTAAACGAAATAAGATTATTTCACTCATGACTCGTAGTCACCCACCATCGTAGAAGTGTCAACATATCGAGAACACGCATTCATGAACCATGATTAGTTGGGACAAATTAATAATGAGGAATACTGTTTTCAAAGGCCTTAAGACAGGAAAGTGGTTATTGGTCACAACATTCATGTGTCACTGCAGGGGAGGGGGTGGAGTCAAATGATAATGCATTCGTGTTGGATAATAAGGTCTGTCATTTAGTGAAGAGGCTTAGCTTCGTTTCCAAGAGTAGGGTCGACTGCATTCCCACTGTTAAGATTTCGAGAAACAGGGCCCAGATTCTCACATCAGATACTTGAACCACAGAAAAGGTTACCTTTCAGAAAATTGGCTCTGTAGCCTAAAACTGAATCACCTATATCTCGGTTCAGAGCAAAGCAATCTGACTGAAATTTCAGCATTTTCTGTTTCTATTATTTATTGTTGAACTATTATAGCGAGAACTGTCAGCTCTTATCTAATCTTACCCAATGGCGCCAATGCCCCTTTAAAATGCCCCTTATAAATCTAGTTTAAAATCCAAATATTTGTCTAAACTTTAGACAGACCTTATGATCTACTAGTATTCTCCAGTTGGTCAATTTCACTGCAAGTCAGTCAAAACGGCCAAACATGACTGGCGAAAATAAGACAAATAAGGTTGGAAGTACCTTCAAAACAAACCATGCCACTTGAATCAATGACAGACCTTATGATCTAAAGCATACATCAGACCACTCAACCACACAACTGGTAAAGACTTTAGACAAATATTTGGATTTTAAACTAGAAACAAAACCATACTGTTGAAGATGTAATTGAGACAAGACATTAGACTAGCACTTATATTTATTAGCAAAAAAAGCCAACAATTTGATTGGTTTTAGTGCTTAGCCAATCAAAATTGAAATTTCTACTAAAATTTGGATTTGATCTTAGTTAAAATTTCCCTACTTTTAAGTTCTGGTAAAATGTCCTTATGTGTCGGAAGTTCTGATTTGTCGACTAAACGAAAGCGACCAGACTGTCCACCGTTGGCTTTGAGAAATGCGACAATTTTGATCGGTGACATACTTTGCGTTACAATGGTGTACATCTGATTTCTAGTGGAATGATTTATAAAGCGAACTGGAACGGGGAGGTTATACAGTAAGCCGTTAATCTGGCGTGTGATATGATGAGGGAAAGCAGGTCCAAACAGTAGATCTTTTAGCATTTTAACTTTAATGAATTCGTCTAGTCGTGCCTGGGCAGCTTTTAAAATAAATCTATCAGCATGACGGTAATGTGGTTTTCTAGGATATTTCTTCTTAGCCTGTGAATCTGTTACTTCTTCCTTCATTTCAACATCTGTGTCACTGGTCTCAGTTTCTGAATCAGTTCCCTCAGCTGTAGTAGCTGTAACGTTTTCTCCTGCATCCTCGGCAGCTTTCTTCAACACCTCCGCTTCTTTAAGCAACGTATCAAAACTGACAGATTCTATCGCTTGATCAGGTTTAGTGTAAGCAGAAACCTGGAATGAAAAACGATTTACTAAGACATGATATCTAGGTTAACTTTAAATAATGGCATTCATCAATTAAAGGTCAAATCTGTGCCTAGCCAGGAAGGCATTTTTATGTGCAATACAAGAGCAGAACGAAAACCAAGGTGGCTCAGTACATGAGGTGCCAGCTCTGTGGATAAGCCATCGGCTCAGGGGTTAAGCCACCAGCTCAGTTGGTAAGACAATGTCTCAGTGGGTAAAGACCCACCTCTGTGGGTAAACCGCTGGCTCGGTGGGTTCTGACTCGGTGTGTAGGACACTGGCTCATTGATAAGAATCTGTTTTTAATCTGGCCAATGAAGTTCCTCAGGTTTTTCCAGCCTTTTTTCGTCTTGTTGCAAGGGCAAGATGGACTGGACAAGAAAAAAGGTCCCTTGTATAGCCATTGGCAGCATGTTGACGGAACGGGAAAAAAATGCACGATACTGGACATGAGATTCTACTCCTTGTCACATACAAGCTTGGCTCAAATTGATTCAAGGACATATCTTATGATCTAAAGGGCATGCATTAGACCACTAGACCAGCCCACCCATATATCAATCTTCTGGTGTTGTCACAGGATAACCCTGCTCAAGGGACAGGAACGTTGCTTCAGTGAAAGGGTGTAGAAATGCAATGCTTGGCTAAATTGGTTTTTATACGCCCACACTGAAATGTGGACGTATATTGCCGTCGCCCCCGTCCGTCCGTCTGTCGGTACGTCCGTCGGTCCGTCCGTCCATCGTCCACAATTTCTTGTGAACGCTCTAACGCCAAAAGTTATCATCCAATTGTTTTAAAATTGATATATGTTGTTTTCATTAGTGAGATGAAGAAGCCTATTTAATTTCAATAACTTCTGTTTATTACGTCTAGAGTTATGGCCCTTGTTTCACTTTGTTGAACCTTGTGAACGCTCTAATGCCAAAAGTTAACATACGATCTTTGTGAAATTTATATGCAATATTTATGTTAGTGAAACGAAGAAGCCTATTGAATTTCAACAATTTCTGTTTATTACGTCTAGAGTTATGGCCCTTGTTTCACTTTATTGAACCTTGTGAACGCTCTAACTCCAAAAGTTATCATCCGATCTTTCTGAAATTTACATGCATTATTTAAATTAGTGAAACGAAGAAGCCTATTTAATTTCAGCAATTTCCGTTTATTACGTCTAGAGTTATGGCCCTTGTTTCATGTTATTGAACCTTGTGAACGCTCAAACGAGAAAAGTTATCAACCGATCTGTATGAAATTTATATGCATCATTTAAATTAGTAAAACAAAGAAGCCTATTGAATTTCAGCAATTTCCGTTAATCATCTAGAGTTATGGCCCTTGTTTCACTTTGTTGAATCTTGTGAATGCTCTAATGACAACAGTTATCATCCGATCTGTTTGAAATTGATATGCATGATTTAAATTAGTGAAACGAAGAATCCTATTGAAGTTCAGCAATTTCCTTTAATTACGCCATGAGTTATGGCCCTTGTTTCACTTTGTTGTACCTTGTGGTTGCTTTAACGACAAAAGTTATTATACGATCTGTATGAAATTTAAAGGTATCGTTTAAATTAGTAAAACGAACAAGCCTATTGAGTTTCAGCAAATTTCCGTTAATTACATCTAGAGTTATGGCCCTTGTTTCACATTGTTGAATCTTGTGAACGCTTGAACGACAAAAGTTATCACCCAATCTGTATGAAATTCATATGCATCATTTAAATTAGTGAAATGAAGAAGCCTATTGAATGTCAGCAATTTCTGTCAATTACTTCTAGAGTTATGGCCCTTGTTCTACTTTGTTGAATCTTGTGAACGTTCGAACGACAAAAGTTATCATCCGATCTGTATGAAATTGATATGTATTATTTGAATTAGTAAAACGAAAAAGTCTGTCGAATTTCAATAATTTCTGTAGATTACTTCCTGAGTTACAGCCCTTATTTTAGTTTTTAGAACCTTGTGAACCCTCAAACGACGAAAATTATAATGTCATCTGTATGAAGTTGTCTATTAAATGCCCCCTAATTACCTACAAAAGAACAAATATACGACAACTCTTGTCGACCGCTCGGACGATTTAGCTGCTGTGGGCGTATGTTTAGTTGCCTGGCAACCTATCTTTATATAATGTAGGCCCTATTTAGCTCAGGAATCCATAGCCCTAAAGCTAATTCAAGTATTCAATAGAATAACTTACCTCTATGACTGGTTGTGTTTCGTAGAGCTTAAACAAGATATCAGCTGCTGCAAAATTTCTAGAGCCTATCTTACTAAGAGACACTGCAGGTTCGGTTCCAACATCTTCCTTCTGTATCTTCATCTGACATCTTAAAGTAAAAAAAGAGAGAAATGGGGATTAACACTCACACAAAACAAACCAACATTTTTGGACTGACACCCAGGAGGTTTGACTCAATGAAAGATCTTATGAGCTTGGACCACTCAACCACCCCTAAAAACAAAAGAAGAGTAACAAGCAAACTGAACATTTCAAAATTTTGATCAATGGGACAAGACTAGATCTTAAAGCTACAATTTCATATTTGTTAAGTTATATTTTTAAAATTTATTAAAATAAAGCCTTAAAATAGATGGTATCCATACACAGTCCTACCTTGTTAAAGAATAATCCTATTAATCCTATAATTCACTATTGCCAGCTGCGAAATTGGCAAAATTATCATTTTCGAATTCCAACATTTGAAGATAGCTAATGCATGGAGGCAATAGGAAAACAAGGGAGGTAATTGTGTTATTATTTCCTGTGTCAATGATTTTTAAGGGTGGGAAATAATGCCCATAGTCGTATAATAGTGAGTTGATAACCTATTGAGCAAAAGACATAGAAATAATTATGTTTTGACTTTCATAGAAAATATGAAATTCTGGCTTGAAGGCTAAGGCCAGGAAACACAGCCTAAGTCTTACAGTTAAGGCCGGAAGACGCAAGACTACAGTAGGTCTTAAGAGATTCAAGACTAGGTCTTAAGAGACACAAGACTAGGCCTTACAGTTGAGGCCAGAAGATACAAGACTAAGCCTTACAGTTGAGACCGGAAGACACAAGACTAGGCCTTAAGATTATGGCCGGGAGACCAGACTAGGCCTTAAGGCAACTTACCTGAATACACGATCATCATTGTCAAAAAACTCCCATTCCAACAACATATTGTTGACAAAACATAAATGTTGTAAAATATAGAAACCTTGAACTTTACGATCTACTATCCAACTGACATCCTCAAAGACAACGATATCCTTGGCTGGTAGTGTTGATATAGGTTTTCGGGTCCATTGTAAGCGATGAAGATTCGAACAGTTATCTTCCAAAATGCAGTTGCCCTTGACACGAAAGTCGATAACATCTGTTGCTGCTTGGTCGTGTGGTTGAAGTTTACTGTGTTGGGGGAGGATGAACTCGGGGTCACAGTTCGTGAAACCTATCGGGCTTTAGAGTAAGCGTCTGCTTGGGCATCTGTTCGGTTCTCTGCTTCACCAATCATGATGAGATGACCAGCTAGATAGAGGTTACAGAAAATTTTCTCCTTTTCTATTTCTGTGTTCATGCTACGACGGTATAGACAAATGGGCGTCAATTTTACATCGTTGAAAATTCCATCCAAGACAGTAATGATGGATGCAGGATGCGTGGCACTGCTAAGTTCGTTCATTTTGACAAACTGTTCACGGAGATCAAATGCCCTAGGATTTGGTGCTGCCTTTACCAAAGTGCTCTGAACCTGTGCTTCTGCTTCTGTTATGACAGACTGTTCGACACCATCTAAGATGTTGCCATGTTCAACATTCATGGTGGTCAGTCGTTCAACCACCATATTATAACACAATGACTTAGCAGTTTTTTTGGAAACTGAAACACCTGCACCTTGTAGTATGTTGTCAATAAAGTACATTCCCTTATGATAAACTTTCCCTGATTCAGCTTTACAACTCTCTACATCATATCGACAACAGACTCGACATTTAGCCACAGAGGCCGCCAACTCCATTTTGCTGACTGAATTGGTTGAAGCATATTTAGGATTGGTTAGAATATCTTGGATCTGTTTCAAAATAGATGGTGGGGGTAACTCTGCAATTGTTTCTTTCTCCATCTTAGCAACGGTCGAGTTAAAATTCTCCAGTTTCTCCTTGATAACTTTTGGGGTCATATCATCCTGGTTCAAAATTTCAGTGACAGGAAGGGTACGATAAAGTTCCACCGCCTTCTTGAAACATGACAGTTTGATTTCTTTCTTGTTGATGCCGATAGCTCTGGCTAGGAACACACCACCCAGATTAAGTCGGCCAGTGAAAAAGGATCCGTTCTTTCCTTGTACCATGCCATCGATCAAAAAATCTGGTCAAATTCCAACTTTACAACTCATCAGAGAATTCTCAAACAACTAAAATGAAATAAAATAGGATTTAATGGGAAAGAGAGGAAAATGGGCTTTATTGTTCACTCGACACTAGGTCATTTCGGGACTAACATATAGTTCATTTTATTTCATTAGGGGTCTTTAGCAGTGGAAGGAAACCCTGAGGACATGGAGAAAACGCACGAGGTTGAACAGACGACCCTACTCCTTGTCACGTACAAGCGGGTAATGACGCATTAACGCTTCGACCACCCAAACTCGCCCAACTGGTCTTATGTAGATGGGCAAATAAAAGAATTTTATACGTAATACATGCTTGAATAAAAATAAAAATAAAGCAGAATCTGTGTTTTTAATAAGATTATTGTGAAAAATATTAAACATGCATTATGCAAGAGCTAAACCTGTCAATTTCAGGTCTTTCTTTAGGCCTGAAATCTTATCTAAATTATTAATTAGACATTAATTAACTTATCCAGACCATAATAAACTCCCGATGTCAAGGCTAGCCTTCGATGTCGACTGGATTACAATTCTATATGCTGCTATCGCTCATTGATAATTAAATCACAACAATAGACAATCGAGACTATTAGTTTCGAGGCTAGGCGAAACTTTCATCCGCTTAGTTTTCGGTTCATAGTGGACCAATTTGACTGACATTTTCAGCAAATTCCCTTTACATTATGTAGTTTTTAACTATTATAGTGAGAACTGCTAACTCGTTATCTTATCTCCATCTCCCATAATGTATCTTTAATAAATAAAACCTCACCATAATTTCATTGATTACTTTTTTTTCACTTCGTAAAAACATTGAAAGTCGTCGAATTTTTTCTGCTAGCGGCAATTTTGTGGCATCGATTGGTTCTGGGTTGGGTGTTTTGTGTACAGCGGCAGCAGGCAGACCTTTGTTATCAATGGGGCGTGTCTGGCAGCCTGGTAATGTTTCCCATTTCTTCTCTGTAAATAAACCATTAAAAAATGTAGTTTGTTAAAGCTGCATTTAGTAACTGTATTGAATAAACCATGACTAATATACCGGTGTATTAAATACAAGTTTTTTCACAGTTCATTTCTGACGACGTCTTGAAAAGTGTTCTCTTGTATTTATCAAGCCACAAACAAAATAAACTTCTAAATAACTTGTATTCTGAATATTGTTTAGTGCCCAGGTTCACTTTGCTCATTTCTGTTGATCAGCGGCTGGGGAGGGGGGGGGGAATAGGTTTTACATTTAGATTCAGAACGAACATGATTCTTCTACAGCCATCCTTTTTACAGTGGTTACAACTTAAACATACAGGTTTCAAGTTTAACTGACTACCATGACTAGAGAATAGAATAACGTGATTTATCAACGAATTAACAGAATTTTAAAACAAAATTAAAAGCTTTTGAGCAGTAGTACAGGTAAAAATTATGTGTGTCAAAAAGATAAGCACCACCGTTTAAAATGAGGTCTGTTTGATATTTAACCATCAACAATAAATTCAGATGGTTTTTATTTGGAACCATGTAATATCCATCACAAAATACTTCCAGCATAAGTCTTGCCACTCCAAGAAGAATAGTATCAGGTTCCTTTGGTACCATGGTACTAATCAAACAAGAGGTGTTGAGGACGTGATCCAAGTGAGAGAGGGGGGGGGGGGTTGGATGGCTGAATGGTTAGCTTTATCATAAAGTCTGTCATTGAGTCAACTGGCATGGTTTCGAATCCCCGGTTGTACGTGACAAGGAGTAGGGTCGCCTGTCCAACCTCGTGGGTTTCCTCCGGGTCCTCCAGTTTCCTCCCACAGCTAAAGATCCCTACGCGCAAGCGAATTATGGAAATAAAATTGAACCATATGTTAGTCGAGTGGACGTTAAACCCCATTTCTCTCTCTCTCTCCAAGTGAGAGAGGGATACACATGACGATGGTTATCACTACTCTTGTCTGTAATCCTCATCCTTTTCCTGACCAGATCATCTAATGGACTCCTATATTTTTCGAAATCCTCAATTAAAAAATATCTATTACTTAAATGACCAAATATTCCTGTCTTGTTTTACTTTAAGGTGGTCCTTAACCTTTTGTCAGTTGTATTTATTTTTATAACTTACTTGCACCACCGGCACTGTTTGCGGGAGTTCCAACACCTCCTATAGAATTCAACTCATTGTTAAAAATATAATTTGCGGGTCACGGAAAGATAACTCTGTTTGGAAACATGGTTTGGTGTAGAGGAGTAACCGAAGTTGGCCGAGTGAAATCTGCAGCCGGTTGCCGAGTGAAAAATAGAAAGTAACTCATTGAAGATCCAGTATTGTGCGATTAAAAAGAAATTCAGACAGGAACCGGATACACTGGGGAAAACAGGCAATGCGCATGTCTGTCAATGCGCATGTCAGCGCATGTCAACTTACCAAATCTCGCCCAAGCGAGATTTTGGGTCTCTAAGAAATATTTCTATGACGCGTCGAATAAATGAAATGAAAATCCTCACACCTTTTTGTTCTTTTTTCAATTGGGGAAACTTTATTATGAAGGTTTTATTTGACAACAATCACATCAGCTTCGCTCTACTCAGGCAAGGCCTGTTACATATTACATTTAATTTCGGACACCAAGATGATAAAATAGGGGACTAATTTCACTTTGGAGTAGCAACTAATACTATCGCCTAACCTCGATGATGTCCGCAGCGGAAAAGGACGACGGGATCTCGTTTCGTACGTGAATTGGCGAGAGAAGGTCTGAATGCGTCTGGACAACTGAAATTTGAGACTGGTTAACGTCGAATTACCGGAAGTTTACATATTTTGGGCCAACACGTTTTCATTTTGTGGTGTACTTCAAAGGCAATTCTTCATTTTTCTACACGTTTTAGTAACCATTTAAAGGAAACAAACCAAACCCCGCCCACATTATCTGACTTAACTGCTATTTGGAAAAGAGTGACGTTCAGAATCTGAAATTCTGGTCTACTTTCGGTTTTTGACACTTCTAACTATGACTAGCCTAGTACTAATCTATTTAACTATTAGTATGAGAGAGAGAGAAATGGGGTTTAACGTCCACTCGACATAAACTAGGTCATTTCGGAACTAACATATGGTTCAATTTTATTTCACTTCAGCAATTCGCATGCGCGTACCGGGGTCTTTAGCAGTTGGAGGAAAGCAGAGAAAACCCACAAGGTTGAACAGGCCACCCTACTCCACTCCTTGTTCTGTACATTGGAGAATTAAAGACTGCAATGAAATGGGGTTTTAACTAGACAAGAAACCTCATCTCCAGATGTGGATCACATCCTAAATAAATAACCCAAACTGTCAATTTCTTCTTCAAAACAACTATTGGCACTATTGCATTTCTGCCGTAGGTATGACGTTGGCTCGCTATAGCCTGGAGGTTGCGTGTTGGATCCCTGCATTGGCTGAGAAAGTTCATTGGGATTTTCTGATGCGGTTTCCCTGTGTCAGTGGTGCAGGACGGAGAGCCTGACAAGAACAGCTGTCTAGTCTTTCGGATGGGACAAAAAAAACGAGGTCCCGTGTATACATTGGGGTGCACGCAAAAGATCCCTTGGCAGTTGGAATTCGATATAAGAGTAGGCCATAGTGCGGCTGCCCAGGCAAAATTTCCCTCATAGCATACTGTATGGTGTGTGCCTGTCTTCATTAGCCCATGTTAGGAGCATAACAGTATGATGTTAAACCCCATTTCATTCATTGCAATGCATGTCTGCCACATCCAACTACAATTAAGCGTATAATCCTACCTGACACAGGTACAAATCAGCTCCTTTAAATCCAAGCGATAATAGCTTGCTTCTTCCAAAATTTTAAAACGAATGAAGGCGGATATATCCCAGTCTGCAGAGTATGTCCAGCGCGTGCACAATTAATTTTTTCAGAGATCGGTGCACATGAATTTTCTTTAGATTTGCAAGCCAGTTGTGGCACGACATTTGCACACAGCAAATTTATTCTGTATTAATTATCATCCACAATAGATAATATAGGTATAATAATACCAGGCATGTAGTTAAGGTGTAGAAGGATTTAAATTTTAATTCAAAGTTTTCTAATTATAAACGAACACACTTTTCTCAAGAGAGACTACCATAACACTAACTAGTGACCAAATTGAGTTGCTGTGTATGGCTAATATACTTGTGCAGTGGTTGCTGCAATTTCGAATTTCAGTACGGTATGTAGTACATGTACATTTTTGAAATTGCATGATAGGCAAAAATAGGCTATTTTATCACACATGGAATTATTTCCTTCATGCTTCAAGTTTTAGATTGCACGCCAGAATTTAGTAAGGATTTTCATAACACGTGCGAGATCTCGTAGAAATCGGACATATTCTGCAGAGTGGCATAAAAGTTTGCCTCATAGAACACTGTATGGCGTATGCCCGTCTCCATTAGCACAGTCAGAGCAGAACAGTAGGACGTTAAAGTTAACTTCATTTCATTTCTCTGGAGGCTAAGGTTATCAACTGCTACAACCTTGAAGAACAGCTCATTTGGCTGTATTTGTCAATCCAGGTAGGGTTGGATTGCCGAATGTTAGCATGTATGAGCTGTATCATACGGTCTGTCATTAAGTCAACTGGCATGGTTTTGATTCCCCGGTTGTACGTAACAAAGAGTAGGGTCGCCTGTCCAGCCTCGTGGGTTTTCTCCGGGTCCTCTGGTTTCCGCCCACTGCTAAAGACCCCTACGCGCAAGCAAATTGTCGAGTGGACGTTAAACCCCAGTTCTCTGTCTCTCTTGTCAATCCAGGTTTATCCAATATTCATTATTTTGGCAGATCAAGGTATGTCTGAATAGCTGAAGGACAGAATTCTTTAAAGTTAGACATTACATAATTAAAGGCTGGCGTCTTTGGTGAATATTTTGAAAAGACTCTTAATCTGTGATATGTTTTATGCCGTTCGAGTGGGAAGAAACCCGGGAATATACTCGACATGGTATATTACCTCCATGGAATAGCTATGTTCAAATGTTTGAATTTGAAGCTGAAAATGATATTTTTGCCAATTTCTAAGCTGGCAGTAGTGAATTATAGGATTAATAGGATTATTCTTTAACAAGGTAGGACTGTTTATGGATACCATCTATTTTAAGGCTTTATTTTAATAAATTTTAAAAATATAACTTAAAAAAATGAAATTGTAGCTTTAAGGATTAAAGTATTCAACAGTCGGGGTGGCCGAATGGTTAACTTGTGGTCTGACATTGAATCAAGTGGTGTGCTTTCGATTCTACGCTTGTATGTGATGAGGAGTAGGGTCGCCTGTCCAACCTTGATGTAAATGTTTAATGTCTTGAACTTGATAAATTTGATGAAACTTGTTATATAGTTTCATTATATCAATAACGTGACTAAGGTCGATATGAGCATTTTCTACTCAAGTTCAGCATCATGGTAAGCAGTTTACAAAAAGATAAATGTGGAGGTGATTAATGAGTATCATTTAATTATTTTGGGTTTAAGACAGGGGTGATCAGCCTCACTGTTGGCTTGTTACCATGACGTCTAACAACAGAAAACTAATATTATTATGACCTATTTATTCTCCTGGTATATATGCATGTTACATTTTACTAACTCACCCACCATTACAGATGACCATCTCACCTATCATTACAGATGACCATCTCACCCATCTTTACAGATGACCATCTCACCTATCATTACAGATTACCATTTCACCCACCATTACAGATGGCTATCTCACCCACCATTACAGATGATCATCTCACCCACCATTACATATTACCATCTCACCCACCATTACAGATTACCAACTCACTTATCATTACAGATGGCTATCTCACCCACCATTACAGATGACCATCTCACCCATCATTACAGATTACCATCTAACCCACCATTACATATTACCATCTCACCCATCATTACAGATGGCTATCTCACCCACCATCTCACCCACCATTACATATTACCATCTCACCCACCATTACAGATTACCAACTCACCCATCATTACAGATGGCTACCTCACCCACCATTACAGATGGCCATCTCACCCATCATTACAGATTACCATCTCACCCACCATTACAAATTACTATCTCACCCATCATTACAGATTACCATCTCACCCACCATTACAGATTACCAATTCACCCACCATTATAGATTACTAACTCACCCAGCATTACAGATTATCATCTCGCCCATCATTACGGATGACCATCTCAACCATCATTACAGATTACCATCTCACCCACCATTACAGATTACCAACTCACCCACCACGATTATCATAGTTGATGGATCAGATGCATATTAATTAATTGAAATCACAAATTATTATTACTAATTAGGTTTTTTAAGCCAAGTCGAGGGGGAGGGTCGGAACAAAGTACTTTTTGTAGTTCCTCCAAAGCGTCCACTATCACATTGCTTAACTTTTTATAATTTACAGGCAGCTTGAAAGTGAGTGTGCGTCAATCAAAGAACATTCAGCCATGTTGCAAGAAATGCTTATGGCCAAAAATGAGATTATCGAAAAACTGACATCGCAAATTTATGAATTAGAAAATAGTCATGGTGACCATTTACATAGAGTATCTGTTACCAATGGAGAACCAACAACTTATCCCAACCAACAAAAGCATTTTGAACTTCCCAGTGCCAAAGAAGTTGAAAGCTTAAAGGCTAGTATTTGTGTCTGTATTTTGGGGTCTGGTAGTCGACTAGTCAGCTAGAAATGTGGCAAGTAATCGACCAAGTTTTCTCTCATAAAGCGACTAGTTTCGTTCAGTTCCAACTGATTGGGCTTAAGTGAGATTTGCGGATGTTCCCTTTATATAGTCATCGGGGACCAGAGCACAGAAGGAGTCTCTTATGAAGCGACTAGTTTCGTTAAGTTCGAACTCATCAGGCTGAAGTGGTAGTTTCGGGTGGACCGACACAGTTCTGTATCACCAGAGCAACTGCTCACGGTATTTATAATTGAACAAAGCTATTTGTAGTTAGTACAACCTCCGGCAGATGTTGCTGTGACATTACGTCATAAGGCAGCAGTAGCTGTGATATAAGGGAATGGGGCGTCTGTGGATGGGATATTAGGATGGATCTTTACTTCAGAGGTCCACCTGAGCAAGCTGCAATTCAAAGATAATTAGGCAGAAACTGTTAACAGTAGCAATATTCCCGACTCTTGCACATGGAAATGATTGTGTTGTATTTTGTTGACTTGACTATATATCCCGTCTCATTCGAAATATTTATTGTATTGATATGACTTTATATGTATTGTGAATTGGATTGTATTGTATGACCTGGTCGTACATGACAAGGAGTAGGGTCACCTTTCCAACCTCGTAGGTTTTCTTCGGGTCCTCCGGTTTCCTCCCACTGCTAAAGACCCCTATGCACAAGCGAATTATTGAAATAAAATTTAACCATGTGTTAGTCCCGAAACGACCTAGTTTGTGTCGAGTGGACGTTAAACCCTATTTCTCTCTCTCTCTTATATATTTATATATATTATGGGTGCATCAGAAATCGGATAAATAGCATGTTTTGTTTGTGTTTTGTGTGGTCCTCCTGAACTTACTATTATTATGAGTATTATTATATATAACAGAATTCTGTCAGCCACTGTATAAATGAATAAACAGCATGTTTTGTTTGTGTTTTGTGTGGCCCATCGTGCACTTACTATTAATATGTATAACAGAATTCTGTCAGCCACTATATAAATAACTGAGTAATTTGATATAATTTGTCTCAACAGCTTCAATAAACACCATTATCTTATATAGTCCATACTGTAATCAATACCAACAGTTTGTTCCTGGTGTAACAGGTTGGATTCATACACAAAAACTCGCAAATACAACTTGATTTATAATTTATGCAAGACAAACGGTATTGTTCGTACATCTCTAATGGATATTTAAATATTAAAATGTTTATAGCACATGTGATTGATTCGTCATTAAGGTTACGTTAAATGGAGTCGTTTTTATATCATTCAATTCAAGTCAGTGGCTGTGAAAGTAGCTCAGTGTAGAGATGTAATCGGTTTAATTCAGATGGACTGTTTTTCGGAATGGTGGACTATTTTGAGGAATGGTCGGATTTCCTATGATTTTACGCTTGATGGATTTATGGAGCAGAAATCCTCACAGTGATTTATTTTAGATGATTTTCGCATAGAGCTACTGTAGTACTATCGGACTTCTTTTCTTGTTGTGTTTGTTTTCTTCATGATCGTAAAAACCCTACAGAATAAATGGTTCTTACAACTTTATTGTTAAGCTGTAATGGCTTTGAAGGTTCCTCGTTCTCAATAATAATAGCTGCTTGGAATATCTGGGTGAACTTTGACCAATCTCGCTCAACACCCTAATTTCAGCACGTCTTAAACTAGCCTTGACGTTAAATTCCATCCCAAATATGGAATAAACCTCTTTATTTCACAAGACTAAAGGAGGAAACATTTACCTTATTTGGTCTACCAACCATAGGTCTATATACAGATATTAAACGAATATGAAGAAATTAGTGCTGGATACACAAGATTAAATGATACCTAGGTAACAGTGTTTAATATGATATATTTTGTTTTTGGTAGTACTCAAGAAGTCGATAAATATGGTTTCCAGAAATGGGTATATGATGATGACGTGGACCTTATACTAGTTAGAGCTGGTCAGTTACAGGATGAATCGGATAAATTGACCAATAAACTCAAGGTAATAATACAGGTCTACAGTTGATAGGTTGTTTAAAGGGCTGATACGTCATTTAGCGCTATGAGAATCTCTCGTAACCTACAATATTGTGAGAATTTAATCTATAATTTCATTTCATTATCTCGTTTGATGCAAAAAATTAAGAATTTAAACTCCATTTTATTAGCTGGGTACACAAAAGTAAATCCTTGAACACTTTTTCATTTCTTTTGTACTTCAACCCAACTTGTATTCAGGGAGCCACGGTGCTGGATAAATGGGTAAGAAGCTTGCTCGCTCACCTAGCGTTTGTGGGTTTGCTCCCGGTGTTGGCCGAGAAAGTTCATCAGATTTTTCTGACATGGTTTCCCCTTGTCAGTGGTGCAGGAAGGAGGGCCTGATAAGGACAGCTGTCTAATCGTTCGGATGGTACTAAAAACCAAAGTCCTGTGTACAAATTGGCATGCACGTGAAGAATCCCTTGACAGTTGGAATTCAATATAAGTGTAGGCCATAATGCCGCTGCCTGGGCAAAATTTCCCTCGTGGGACACTGTATGGCTTATGTCCATCTTCATTAGCCCAGTCGGAGCAAAACAGTAGGACGTTAAACCCCATTTCATTTTGCTATCTAATTTTCCTTTCTTTTCCACTACTTCAACAAGAGGGGGTTTGGATGACCAAATGGTTAGCATGTGCACTTAGTGTCATTTTTTTTTCTGGGTCCTCCAGTTACATCCCACTGCTAAAGACCCCTACTCACAAGCGAATTATTGAAATAAAATTAAACTATATGTTAGTCCCAAAATGACCTGGTTTGTGTCAAGTGGACGTTAAACCCTCTCCCTCTCTCTCTCTCTCTCTCTCTCCCTCTCTCTCTCTCTCTCTCTCTCTCTCTCTCTCTCTTTTTTTTAAAGCAGATGTATTATAAATATTTCAATGTATCCCATATTGATCTACAAACCTAATTGAGGTCAGATATCCATTTTATAAAGAGAGAGCTTAACCAAGAATTGATTTTAATATTCTTTATTCTGTACTTGAACACTTGTGACACGATGACCGTAATTCGTTCATCCGTTCATGTAGAAAATTTCTATTGATTCTATTATTCTTTTAAATAATAAAGATATTGTGACCCGTTGACCGTAATTTGTTCGTCTGTTCACATAGAAAATTTCTATTGATGTTATTATTCTTTTATATATAGAGGATATTTTTCGTTTAAGAGTGAATAACATATTTTATTTCATCGAGAAGCCAGAAAACTTATATTTTCATGAATGTGTAGCATGAGTGAAAATATAAACGTTTTCTTGCTTCGAGATGAAATAAAATATGTTATTCACGACAAAACGACAAATGTTCTACTTATTTTATGATTTTACAATCATTTTAGGTAAAAACAACATGGACTACTTTGTCCGCTTGGACAACGCGGGGGGGGGGGGGGGGGTTACACCGAATTACATCTTTATCTGCTTCTGGTGTATGAATACCTTTGAGAATGTAATGATCGACAAGTCGGCGTGTCGGCCATATTGTTTTCATAATTTTGTCACTAAAAAGTGTTTTACTGAGCGTTTGTGAATGTGTGGATTATTACATTTTTCAGGACATGTTTTTTTTTACATATATCGATGTGTTTATTGAAATACATGTAAGTCAAGCTATGTAAAATCATGCCACGAGTCTTGACAACAACACTTACACGAGCTCGACTCAACGACTTGAACTAGTGACCGTGCGTGGTGAGTTGTGAGTTGGGTAAAGTAGTCCTGGCGGCCAGTGAAATAACAAGTTTTATTTCACTGTGAGCCAGTGGAATAACACTTTTATTTCACTGATAAAACGCGGTATTCCACTACTGATAATAAAATAAAATAAATATATTGTGTGAGAGTGAACATATGGTACAATTTTATTCCAATAAATCACTTAGGACTCTTTAGCAGTGGGAGGAAATCAGAGGACTCAAAGAAAACCCACAAAGTTATCAGACGACCTTACAATTTTATTTCAATAATTCGCTTAGGCGTCTTTAGATGTGGGAGGAAGTCAGACGAACCAAAGAAAACCCACAAGGTTGGTCAGGCGACCCTACTTCTTGTGCGATCGAAACCAATTGTTAAAGATACATTATGCCTATTGCAGGTTTTTATTTTGTCTTCAAATGTTATATAAACTATTTTTTAGACAAGCTTATAATCAACTTGGGGGGTTGGATGGCTGAATGGTTAGCAAGCGAATTATTAAAATAAAATTAAACCATATGTTAGTCCCGAAATGACCTAGTTTGTGTCGAGTGGAGGTTAAACTCCATCTCTCTCTCTCTAATTAACTTTCTAGAATGTTGGATGGCAAAGATATAAACTGCAATTGCCATTTAATGATTTAATTTAAAAATGGAAAAGCGAGGCAGAGTCTCAATTAATAAATAATATTTGCCACATCAAACTTCAAACATTGATAACTTGACTCAGAATGAAGTAATCTGAATGTAATTTTCAATATATTAATTCTGAATTATCTATGTAGGAACAATTATAGCAGGGGATCACGTGGCTAAGTGGGTAAGACGCTGGCTCGCTAGCCTGGAGGTCGGGTGTTCAATCCCTGCATTGGCCGAGAAAGTTCATCCCGATTTTACGGCGTGGTTTCCCCCTTGTCAGTGATGCAGGACGGAGGGCCTGACAAGGACAGCTGTCTAGTCGTTCGGATGGGACGGAAAAACGAGGTCCCGTGTACATATTGGCGTGCACGTAAAAGATCCCTTGGCAGTTGGAATTTGATATAAGAGTAGGCCGTAGCGCCACTGCCCGGGCAAAATTTCCCTCATAGCACACTGTATGGCGTATGCCCGTCTTCATTAGCCCAGTTTAGGAGCAGAACAGTAGGACGTTAAACCCCATTTCATTTCATTTCCTTTCATTGAACTATTATAGCAAGACCGGTCAGCTTTTTACCTGAATCTTACTTAATGCATCTTTAACTCCATTGTACACATGGAAATTAAATGATAATTATCCCATGCTAAATAAAGGTAAGGTAGGAGAGGGGGAGGGGCAAATAGTTTAACATGTGTGCTTAGATCATTGATCTCTCATTGAGTCAAGTGGCTTTGTTTCAATTCCCCACTTGTACGTTACAAAGGGTAGGGTTACAAAGGGTAGGGTCGCCTGTCTCGAACCTAGCTGGTTCACTTTGGAATGATGGATCTAACTTGGATTTATTGATTTAGAATTATTTATAGAGTTTGGAAGAGAGAAGTAGTCATTTATTGATGCCATATTATGATTTAGCCTCGTGTTATTAATATTTTCTCAAAATGTGTCATTTAGTATCCATATGTGTTATTTAGTATCCATATGTGTCATTTAGTATCCATATGTGTCATTTAGTATCAATATGTGTCATTTAGTATCCATATGTGTCATTTAGTATCAATATGTGTCATTTAGTATCCATATGTGTCATTTAGTAGGCTATCATTATCAAAATGTGTCATTTGGTATCGATATGTGTCGTTTAGTATCAATATGTGTCATTTAGTACTAATATCAAAATGTTTCATTTAGTATCAATGTGTGTCATTTAGTATCAAAATGTGTCATTTAGTATCAATATGTGTCATTTAGTATCAATATGTGTCATTTAGTATCAGTATCAAAATGTGTCATTTGGTATCAATATGTGTCAGTATTAACGTAACAATATCAAAATGTGTTATTTAATATCACAATGTGTCAATCAATGCTTACCCTGTTGATCACCATTTCAATCAATTGCGATAAATATACAATTTTGTCGATTAATTTTTATATTAAAACAATGTGTTATTTTGCCACTTTCCTCTCTGGTAGGATAAGCTAGTGATTGGGTGACAGGCGTTATCTGGTGACAAGCGGCTCATCAACTTAACTGCAATAAGTTTCCACAGGGAGCGGACAATGAAGTTGGACATTTTTTGGTGTTCTGATAGCAGTCTTCACTTTATTATTGAATTATATGTTATTTTTATATGATATTTATTTTATTTTAAAGGAAGCGGAAGAAGCGACATCACATCAGGTTAAATGGGAGAACTTTATGGTTGGTCAGAGTGGAAAATATCTGACCCGTTCTCCGGAATTAAAAACATTGATACGATTAGATATTCCACACGAATACAGAGAACAAATATGGAGAGGGTAGGTCATCTCACATTTCGTGATTTTATAGATAGGACAGAGAGAGAGAGATGGGGTTTAACGTCCACTTGACACAAAATAGGTCATTTTGAGACTAACATGGTTCTATTTTATTTCTTTAGCAGTGGGAGGAAACTGCAGGACCCGAAGAAAACCCACGAGGTTGGACAGGTGACCCTACTCCTTGTCATGCACAACTAGGGAATCTCTCTCTCTGTCTCTCAGGGGGGGGGGGGTTGGATGGCCGAATGGTTAGCATGTGCATGCTGTATCAAAAGGCCTGTCATTGAGTCAACTGGCGTGGTTCCCCCTTGTCAGTGGTGTAGGATTGGGGAGGGCAGCTGGAAAGGGCAATGTATAGTCATTTGGATGGATCGGAAACCTGAGATCAGGTGTACACATTGGCGTGCACGTAAAAGAACCCTTGGCAGTTGAAATTCAGAATAAGAGTAGACGATTGAGCCACTGTCTGGGCAAAATTTCCCTCATAGCACACAGTAGGATGTTAAACCCCATTCCATTTCATTTCATTTTATTTTTATAATTACTGATATGAAATAATTTTTTTTTCAGGTGTATTAATTTGTATGTTGGAGAAACGAAGACTAAATTAGGTCCATCATATTATAAAGATTTAGTTCAAAAAGGAAAATCATCCAACTCAGCTAAACAGGTAATAGTTATTTTATTTTTGCTAAACATACAAATGATTGGGGATGCTCGATTCACAGTCCAGAACGTCCCGAATTGACAGAATTGCAATCGAGTAACGCGGAATTCAGTTCTGTCACAGTTCTGTCAGTCCCGACAACGGAGGTGGTGTGAGTAGAATCGTGACGTAATTAAAATGTATCGGCTGCATGGTTGGTTGAGATATTTACTGATTCAGTCGATGCATGCGTTGTAGTCCGAAATCCACCTTTTCACTCGATTGTCACTATTTTTGGGATTAAGAGAATTCAGTTCCGGAACGTTCAATCGAGTACCCCCTATGTTTGTAAACCTGGTATTGCTTAGTTGTTCGTTTCTGTTACTAGGTTCTTTACAGACCATATAATTTCAAAATCTTGGGTTGTACAGTTGTTCCAAAACTTTTTTCCCCTCATGGAATACTCTGGGCATTTTACAAATAATCTATGAGGGACCACCATATTTGCATGTATTCAAATCCAGTAAATATCGCTGGCTAACGAAGGCATCAATAGTCGATTATGGTCTGGATAAGTTAATAAATGTCCAATTAATAATTTAGATAACATTTAAAGATACATTATGTAAGATTTAGATAAAGAACTAGCCATTCTTGCTATAATAGTTCAAAAGTGGATGATGTAAAATGAATAATTTGAAAATTTCATTCAAATTACTCTATTGCAAGCGAAGATATTAGCCTTTGAAGGTTTGACAGACGTGTGCAATAATTTCTACCACCGTACTGGTTGATCGAAGCTAAGTCTCGGTCCTCCATATTTGATTAAATCAAAGTACATGTATCGCTGAACCATTCTAATCTATTTAATATAGGAGAAATCTGATGCCATTGAGAGTTGATTAAGGTGGATCAGTTAATTAATGTCAAATTAATACTTTAGAAAACATTTCACGCCTAAAGAAAGACCTGCAATAGGCAGATTTACCTCTTGCATAATGTATGTTTAATAAAAGCAACATTTTGTTATGGATCCTCGAAATGTTATCAAGCTTTAAATTACCATAGTGAAATGTAATGAAGTGACAGGGGGTTTAACGTCCTACTGTTCTGCTCCAAACTGGGCTAATGAAGACGAGCGAGCATACATCATGCAGTGTGATATGAGGGAAATTTTGCCCGGACAGCGGCACTACAGCCTACTCTTATATCAAATTCCAACTGTCAAGGGATCTTTTACGTGCATGCCAATGTGTACAGCTGTCCTTGTCGGGCCATCCTGCACCACTGACAAGGGGGAATCACGCTGGAAAAAGTTACCCTGGTGATTTTGTTGTATATTATGTTTTTTAGTGTTTATATAGCCTGTCTTGTTTCATCATTATGTCATTTATTTTTGTATTTTTAGATAGAATTAGATTTATTAAGAACCTTACCTACAAACGTCCATTTTGAATCGTTAGAATCTGACGGGATAAAGAAACTACGCCATGTTTTATTGGCCTATAGTAAACATAATCCAGATATTGGATACTGTCAGGTTAGTATGAGAGAGAGAGAATAACCCTTGGGTATTTCGTAGTAATATTTTTATTCTACATGAAGAATGATAATATCTGAAATGAACAATATTAATAGTGCTGGAAATAAAGGTTATAGTTGTATGTGACAAAATATCAGATAATGCTGAACTGACACTAAATACCGGAAAACACACTAAATACAGGAAAACACCTTAAAAAGGTAACCCGGAGCCTGGTCCTCTGTTTGCGGTGTTTTCCAGAGGACCAGCGATGGGTTACCTATTTAGGGTGTTTTCCGGTATTTATTGTGTTTTCCGGTAGTTTTCCGGTGTTTTCCTGTTGTTTTCCGGTGTTTTTCGGTGTTTTCCTGTATCAAGTATAGCCCCAGGTGCCTAATTTCCAGTCTTGAATATTAAAACTATATAAGTACGGTTTCATAAACATAATGAAATACAGAAATGTGGCACTTATGATTAAGCACATTATTGATGTGTATAAAATAATAATTACCGCAAAGAAAGTTCAAGGGAAGGGATGCTTGCTTGTTTGTATCCTCCATTTTGTTCACTAAGCAAATACATGTAACTCTATTTTAATGTCAAAGGGTTAAGACCACAAATTATAATAATTCTCTAATGTGAGAGGAGATCACGGTGGCTAAGTGGGTAAGACGCTGGTTCGCTAGCCTGGAGGTCGGGTGTTCGATCCATGCATTGGCTGAGAAAGTTCATCAGGTTTTTCCGGTGTGGTTTCCCTTGTCAGTGATGCAGGGCGGAGGGCCTGACAAGGATAGCTGTCTAGTCGTTCGGATTGGACGGAAAACCGAGGTCCCGTGTACATATTGGTGTGCACGTAAAAGATCCCTTGGCAGTTGGAATTCGATATAAGACCTTACGATCTAAAGCATGTGTTTAACGATCTACAATATATCAACCACATTATTTATTTACTAAATGTGATGTAGTAAAGCACTGACCTTAATGTGATGTGTGACTTTTATGAAGTCGGTGACAAGGTAAAAATGGAGCTGGCTCACAAAGTCCGAGTTCCCTAGTTTGAAACTTGTCTTGACTGAAAGAATTGCTCAGGATTTTCCAGCCTTCTTCCCCCCTCCTTATCAGAGGTGCAGGGCGAGGGGTCTGATAAATGAAAAGGGTGTAGTTGTTCGAATGGTAATAAAAACTGAGGTCCAAAACATGTATGCACCTAAATTAGGAGAAATATCGTCTCAAAGCTTCTGAATTCATCAAATTATATTTAGAACGTGTTTAACCAGTTCTATCAGATATGTGATAATGACTGACATCAGTATTGTCCTTTAAACCTTTTTTCATTTCATTTATTTTTATTGCAAGGTTTAATTCGACTCGTAACTATAGCTATATTATTTTTATTGCAGGGTTTAATTCGACTCGTAACTATAGCTATATTATTTTTATTGCAGGGTTTAAATCGACTTGTAGCTATAGCGTTATTATTTTTAACAGAAGAGGAGTCGTTCTGGTGTTTAGTAGCTATAGTAGATCATATCATGCCTAAAGATTATTATACTAAAACATTAGCGGCGGCACAGGCAGATCAGGTAAATATACACGTTTTATATCAATAGTAGTTGAACAGGTTGAACAGGTAAAAATACACGCTTTATATCAATGGAATTTATTAATTGAACAGACTCTGCTTGGGCCTGGAAATAACCGACTTCATTGGACGAAAAGCAGAAGTTCCGTGTACAGAGGGCCTGACAAGGACTTTTCTGATGGGACTAAATACCAAAGTCCTGTGTACACATTGGCGATAAGGATTCCTTGACAGTTGGAATTCGAAATAAGTGTAGGTGACAGCGCCGCTGTCCAGGCAATTTTCCCTCATAGCACACTGTATGGTGTACGCACGTTGTCATTAGCCAAGTAGGAGCAGAACAGTAGGGCATTAAACTTCATTTCATTTCAGCAGATTTCAGCAATGTAGGGCGGTCCAGGAGTTAAATGGTTCACAAATTGTTGATAGAAATGAAATGAAATGGGGTTTAACATCCTACTGTTCTGCTCCAAACTGGGCTAATGAAGATGGGTATACGTCAAACAGTGTGCTATGAGGGAAATTTTGCCTGGACAATGGCACTACGGCCTAACCTTATATCGAATTCCAACTTTCAAGGGATCTTTTACATGCACGCCAATGTGAACACGGGACCTCGTTTTTTTTTGTACCATCCGAACGACTATACAGCTGTCCTTGTCAGAAAATGTACATAGATGATGTAACTATTTATTGTTTGTTTCAGAGAGTATTAAAGGACTTAATACAAGAAAAGTTACCCAAGTTATATAGCCATTTTGAGACGTATGATGTTGACCTATCATTGTTTACGTTTAATTGGTTCCTGACCGTGTTCGTTGATAATATACCACCTGATACATTTCTTAAAGTCTGGGATTCATTCCTTTATGAAGGCAGTAAGGTAAAAACCTGGTATTTTGAGTAATTGCGATTAATTCCTCTATGAAGGCGGTAAGGTAAAAACATTGTATACAGCATCTTCAATAGAGGGCTTGATCTCGCTTTAACTACGTACATCTTATCAAGGCCTTTACGTAATACCCTACAAATGTCGGCACTAATTTCGATTGGGTACAACCCCAGCTTGTGAGCCTATCAGATTCCTCGATCGTCGCGAATACCAAGTCTCGCACTTTCAAGCTAAAATGTCTACCTGTGACCAGAGGCGTGACAATCGAGTTGCAAAGTTCAACGTTCATACAATGTCAGGGTTTCAGCAGAGGTCACAATGTCACAACCTCTGATTGGACGCTACTGCTCACGTGTCTGTAGGTGACATAGCTATAAGTTTGGGAATTGTGAAGTAAACAAGCAACGGCCAGATGTTGTAAAACTCGCAGTCGTTGCTTCAGGAACATGGGTATCAAGTGGACTCTGTCAATTCCGACATTGTACAGGATCGATACAATATGCCTGATTACACAACATGTGGGAATACTCAATATTCTTCCGGAAGTAATAGATGTAGACTACTGGAATCTGCCGAGTGTGTAATTGATGTGAGAAACTCAAATCAAATATCAAGCACTCCCTTACAAGAGATTATTAAATTATCAAGGTAATCAACAAAGACTGACACGTGTTTTATGCTCACAGATAATTGATTGGTGATTGCTTGTCGGTTAACACCCAATGATTGAAGGCCGGATTATCCAATGTTAATTCAACGCAAATCGTGTGATGGGACCACTGATTGAAGGCTGGATTATCCAATGTTAATTCATTGCAAATCATGTGACGGGACCGCTGATTGATATCGTTATTCGGAATATATTCAGAATCTGGACTACTCAAAACGTTTTTGGTTGAAATAATAAGGAAATAAATCGGGACATGAAAATGATGACAGAATTCACAGAATGCCGTAGTAATCAGAGTTCGGAAGTGAGAGAGTCCACTGTACTTGTGTGATTTTAATGGTTAATTAGGATGAAAAGTTATTATAACGTGTCCTCTTTTGAGAACTTTAATGTGACATAAACCATGCAAGATGTCAACTAGCCAAGGACATTGCAAATTACAAAACTAAAAAATACCATTTTAAGTAAACATATAGGCATATTAGCAATATTAAAATTAGATTTTCTGTGATATAGACAGATTATTATTTTTTACAGGTGATGTTCCGGTTTGCTATAGCTTTCTTAAAACTTGTTGAAGATGACATTTTAATACAAAGCAGCTCTTTAGCAATAAATCGTTATATGAGGGTTATAGGAGACAAATTAACTCATTCAAAGAGAATATCACAGGTACGTGTAACTTATTGTCTGGAAAAGTATCATACTATTACATAGATTGTTTAACAGATTGTTGTTTAATGTTTATGTTTTATTTTGTTGTTTAATGTTTATATTTTAGATTGTTGTTTTAGATTGTTGTTTAATGTTTATGTTTTAGGTCGTTTAACAGATTGTTGTTGATATTTTTAGATTGTTTAACAGATTGTTTTTGTTTACTTATATTTTAGATTAACAGGTTGTTGTTTAATGTTTATAATTTAAATAGTTGTTTAATGCTTATGTTTAAGGTTGTTTAACAGATTGGTATTTTAGAATGTTTAACAGATTGTTGTTGTTTGATTATATTTTAGATTAATAGATTGTTGTTTAATGTTTATTGTTTTAGATTGTTGAACAGATTGTTGAACAGATTGTTGTTATTTATTGTTGTTTTAGATTGTTAATTGTTGTTTATATTTTAGATAATTTAACTGATTGTTGATTCTATATGTTTTAGATTGCCTTTCATGACTTAAATCCATTTCCAATGCGTACAGTGTCTTCCAGACGACTACATCACTTACAGCAAGTCAGAGTAAGTTTTTCTTTTTAAAACTCGCCCCGATGTCATATTTACTGCGAATCATGAGTGGCTTTAACTTGTGTCATTAATGGGCAAAGTTCGAATGGGATACTAAAACAGATTTTAGAGGTCATATATAAGAATATATACATTTTTCCAAGGGGTGTTCAGTGGTCAAGTGTGTGTGTTTTAGATCAGAAGGTCGATCATTGAGTCAAGTGCCATGATTTCAATCACATACATGTACTTGACAGGAGTAAGGTTGCTTGATTCCCCAGTTGTATGTGACAAGGACTAGGGTCGCCTGTCCAACCTTGTGGGTTTTCTCCGGGTCCTCCAGTTTGCTCCCGAAGCTAAAGACCCCTATGTGTTATTGAAATAAAATAAACCATATGTTAGTCCCAAAATGACGTATATAATAGTAATATTATTTTATCTACAGGCTGAACTAGGGGGTCACGGTGGCTAAGTGGGTAAGACGCTGGCTCCCTAGCCTGGAGGTTGGGTGTTCAATCCCTGCATTAGCTGATGCAGGATGGAGGCCCTGTCGAGTTGTTTGGATGGGATGAAAAAACGAGGTCCAGTGTACACGTTGGTGTGCACGTAAAAGATCCCTTGACAGTTGGAATTTAATACAAGAGTAGGCCGTAGTGCTGCTGTCCGGGCAAAATTTCCCTTATAGCACACTGTATGGCGTATGCCCGTCTTCATTAGCCCAGTTCTGAGCACAACAGTAGGACGTTAAACCATATTTCATTTCATTTCATTTCATGTACAGACTGAACTAGCTGAATTGGATATTATACGACAGAAATTTTCTTCCAAAGCTATACCAGAAGATAGAAAGGATTATTATGATGATGAAGATGACGATGATGATGAAGAGGAAATATCGTGAGATTGTTGAAGATGAGTTTTAGTGTGATTGTGTGATATTTAACTAAGGTTTTTATATGATCAAAATATGAGAAATATTTATTTTTATAAATTATGAAATGTTAAATCGTAGGATAAGTTTCTGTTCATTGTTCGTTGTTAGCATATCAGTTTATATTTATATATCGTGGGGGGATGGATGGCTGAATGGTTAGCATGTGCGCGCTGTATCATAAGGTCTGTCATTGAGTCAGCTGGCTGGTTTCAATTCCCCGGTTGTACGTGACAAGGAATAGGGTCGCCTGTCCAACCTCGTGGGTTTTCTCTGCGTCCTCCGGTTTCCTCCCACTGCTAAAGACCCCTATTCGCAAGCGAATTATTAAAATAAAATTGAACCATGTGTTAGTCCCGAAATGACCTAGTTTGTGTCGAGTGGACGTTAAACCCCATTTCTCTCTCTCTTATATATCGTACAACCAGGGTCTCCAACCCTTCGTTCTTTGTTGATATTATATATTTATAGCTTCTATTTATATATCCTAAGAGGGGTCCCCAACCATTTCAGCCTGAGGGAAGGAGTAGCTGTCGTACGGATGGTCTTTGTGGGCATATCAGACCATGTCACTAAAACTATCCGTTCGTATCCGGAACTTAACCATGGGGTTATTCTAAATCTAATCAAACATGTTTTAAACATTAATTGTAGACTAATATACAATCATTTACTGTGTTCACCACTTGCGAGTGTATCAGGAACGGTTCTGGAGCAGAGTTTTTGAATTTTCTGTAATGTAAATGGGTCAACTGTAGCCTTAACCCTTTGGACCCGAGCTGGAGTACAGAGCAGCTGGTATACTGGCCACCATAGGTACCTGTTCGGCAAATCAGTAACGAACAGGTACCTGCGGGAGCTGATATACCGACTGGTTGGAATTCTAGCTGTTTTTTTTTTTAGCCACTCAGGTCCTAAGAGTTCATAATATTACGAAAAAATGTTTTGGTCCATTTTTACCCTGGGAGGCTAGTATATAGGCCTAATATTGTCATGGATGTCCAAAGGGTTAAGTCTATGTATTTTGCTCAAGAAAATCATCAATAAACTTATTTAAGAATACCAGGAATGTTGTGAGTTTAGAGCAGTTAATTTAAACAAGGTCTACTGTATTAAATCTCATATGGAATACTGTCTCTATTTCAAACCAGTTTTATATATTGTCATGTATTTCACTATATACATTATATACAGTATACAAACATGTCATCATCTGGCTAAATGAGACACATGCCTCAAAAACAGCTATGACAAAATGTAATTCTGTATTTAAATTCCAAACATATCTTTGAAATTAGCTGAAAATAAAATGAAAGCTAAACAAATACCATAGCAACCAAAAGCAGCATATTTCATGCATTTCTGATAGGAATTTGTCATTGGGTAACTAAATGAGACATTTTTTAATGGCTCGCAATGTCATTTTCGTATATCCTGTCATGGATCTGAGATTTGTGTCTCAATTAGTTTAAACAATATTTGATTCAGATAAGATTCATATTAGGTACATACATTGTCAATTTATCTCCTTATTGAAAATCGTAATACAAAATACAATTACAAAATGCACACTTCATATAACAAAAATACATGTAGCAGTATGATAATTGATTTATATTTGATGTTAATCATGTTAGTAAATTTAATGTGTCACTTTTATTGCATTAAAATTTCATAATATACTTGGTGCGTATAATGTTCCATTTAGCCAGAGGTGATTTAATGTGAATCCAATATTCCCCAGCTGAATATATAACCACCATAAATAATATAGTCTATAATATTGTCATTTCGCTCCATATAGTTATAAAGCGTAAATTAATTCCTAGAATATAGATTTAAATTTATAGTATTTGTAAAATTGAATATCTATAATATTGTCATTCCGCTCCATATAGTTATAAAGTGTAAATTAATTCCTAGAATATAGATTTAAATTTATAGTATTTGTAAAATTGAATATCTCTCATGAGGCTCCAATCTGATTAAAACACGGATTCTATTTCATGTCGTTTTTCATAGTTCAAAATTTTGTTTTACTTGTCTTTACATATAACAAGCGTTCTAGTTGATGTGAGGGATTAGCAAATGAAACAGTCTGTTGCAAGGAGTTCTTGCCGTGTGGTGCACAGAACTATGGGAATCCCACTAAAAACATCAATGCTGAATGGTTAATCTACTGTCTACTCGTATGACCTCTGACACTACAACTGGTCAGATCTTCATGTAGTGCAAGCCGTCGAAAGAATACAAATACGAAATGAAATATAGATGTTTATTTTATGATCAGTAGTGGAATACAGCGTTTTATCAGTGAAATAAAAGTGTTATTTCACTTGCTAGTTGTTTTTACCTAAAATGATTGTAAAATCATAAAATAAATAGAACATTTCATCTCTAAGCAAGAAAACGTTTATATTTTCACTCATGCTACGCATTCGTGAAAATATAAGTTTTCTTGCTTCACGATTAAATAAAATATGTTATTCACTCTAAAACGACAAATATCCTCTATGTATTTTAATCAGATTGATGAAACTACTAGTTTCTCCATAATTGTTTTAATAACGTGTCTGTGTTGTAAAGTTTAAACATACATTATGCAAGAGCTAAATCTGTCTAATGCCGGTCTTTCTTTAGGCCTGAAATGTTATGTTAATTAGACGTTAATTAACAAAACAGGACCATGATCAACTCTATATGACATCACTAGCCTGCTATATTTACTGGATTGGAATACATATTTTTAAAAGATAATTCAACTTAAAAATGGATAATCGAGACTTTGTTTTTTTTTTTATCTTGCCGAGGCTAGCCCAAAATTCAAAAGCTATTATCTCCGTTCAGAGTGGAGCATATTCTATTTTTTTAACTATTATAGCGAGACCTGTCAACTCTTTATTTAATCTCCCATAATGCTCCTTTAATTGATTCACAGAATATATATTGAAATTTATAGTATTCAAACTTGGTTATTGGAACAGTTTGTGTTTATGTAATTTTAAAACTGAAAATCTATGTCATTGGCGAGTAGCTGTCCCAGATATCTCTCATGCAGCTACCAGTTTCGTTATTATTCGAAGTCTCCATTTATCATTATATACCTCAATTGCCTCCTAGTAAATATATTGGAATTTATAGTATTTGTAGTAAAATTTGTTATAATTGTATACCCTAGTCAAAGTGAGTTATGTGTAAAAAGATTGTTATTGATCCGCGTGATTATAATATAAAGAATATTTTTTATACAAACCATATCTTTATTTTAATGATGTAACAGCTGTAGTATATAGGTTTCATATTTATTATAAACCAGTTTTCTCGAGGTTAACTGTTCACTTATAAAACAGCTGACTGTTATTTCTATTCCATTAAAATAGTCAGGCAGTTGAAGGGCCCAATAGTTAGCATGTGTGCGATGTATCATAAGGTCTGTCATTGAGTCAATTGGCATGGTTTCGATTCCCCTGTTGTACGTGACAAGGAGTAGGGTCGCCTGTCCCACCTCGTGGGTTTTCTCCGGGTCTTCCGGTTTCCTCCCACTGCTAAAGACCCCTATGCGCAAGCGAATTATTGAAATAAAATTGAACCATATGTTAGTCCCGAAATGACCTAGTTTGTGTCTAGTGGACATTAAACCCCATTTCTCTCTTACCCCCTTCTCTGTCTCTCTTCTTCGCACGCCTACCCATAAATACTAAATAAACTGCTCTAGACATCTAGAGATGTGGCTGAGCTTTTATAGTATTGACATGGACACAGCTATATAAAATTAATGATTCCTTGTGTTCATTTCAAATTAAATTTACTGGCTGATATACGCACAGCTGTAAACCAAAGTTATAAAATATTAAACCCACCGGTAGTACCTGCTTTTGTATAATTTTGTATATAATTTTGGCTGATCCCTCACATCATCCAGAACGCGGATTATATAACAACTCTTCCAGATCCTAGTGTAGTAAAGATGAATTAAACGAAATTTTGAACTAAAAAACGAAACGAAATAGGATTGTGTTACACAAAGGAAATTACTTTTTAAAATACTCAATTATAGCATTCTTGTTAGTATTAGTATGATATTTGAATTATTAGTTTTAAAAATAAATGTACATAATAGTAGGATATTATAGAGTCTGTATAATATTAGTTGTATATTATTAGTACATGTATTATACTTGTATGAATATGACAGTACTTATATTAATAGTTTGGTAGTGTTTGTATTAATAGTGTAGTACTTGTATTAATACTATAATACTTGTATTAATACTATAATACTTGTATTAATAGTTTTGCACTTGTATTAATAGTATAATACTTGCATTTTTAGTATAATACTTGTATTGGTACTATAGTACTTTATCATAAGTATAATACTTTAATTATTGGTATAATAAAACTTGTATTATAAGTATAATGCTTGCATTTTTATACGCCCACATTTTCATGTGGACGTATTATGCCATCGCCCCTGTCCGTCCGTCCACAATTGTTTGTGGACCCTCTCTACAGGTCACAATTCTTATCCGATTTTGACGAATCTTGAAATATAGGTTTATCTCCAAAAGATCTCGGCTGCTTTCGATATTGGCATGTATCGGATCAAAACTTCATGGATTATGGCCCCTGTTTGTACGAAAAATCACGTTTTTAGCTTGTGGACCCAATAGAGGTCACAATTTTTATCCGATTTTGTTGAAACTTGAAATATAAGTTTATAACCCAAAGATCTCAGTTCCTGTTGATATTCGCGCATATCAGACCGTAACTTCCTGAATTATGGCCCCTGATTGTACGAAAAATCGCGTTTTTAGCTTGTGGACCCTATAGAGGTCATAATTTTTATCCGATTTAAAAAACCGTATTATTATATCACCGTTACACCCTAAGAACGACCGAGTTCGAATTTCGTGAAAATCAGCCCAAAATTGACAGACAAAATGGCCGCCGTTCGTTCTCAAATAGCGTAAAAATACGGTATATCAAGGTTGTGGACCCTATAGAGGTCACAATTTTTATCCAATTTTGTTGAAACTTGAAATGTAAGTTTATAACCCAAAGATCTCGGTTCCTTTCGATATTTGCGCATATCGAATTGTAATTTCCTGAATTATGGCCCTTGATTGTAGGAAAAATCACTTTCTTTTTAGCTTGTTCTCTATCCATCTCTCGAAAATGTGGGTGTATCCTGCCTGGCAGCCGCTGTTAGTATACAACTTGTATTATTAATATAATTCATTTTTAGTATAATTTTAGCATTATTAGTTTTGTACTTGTATACTTGCATTTTTAGTATAATGCTTGTGTTATTAGTATAGTACTTGTATTAATAGTGTAGTACTTCTATTATTAATGTAGTAATTGTAATATTAGTGTAGTCACTGCATCACACTCGAATTATATTAGTATAATACTTGTATTATTAGTGTAATACTTGTATTGTTAGTGTAATACTTGTATTATTAGTGTAATACTTGTATTATCAGTATAATACTTGTTTTATTAGTGTAATCCTTGTATTATTAGTATAATACTTGTATTATAATAAATCGTAATACATGTATTATTAGTGTAGTACTTGTATTAATAAGGTAATAACAGTGTATTACTTTTATAAATAGTATTGTACTTGCAATGTGTAATACCCATATTAATAATACAAAACAATACTGGTATTAGTAGTAGAATACTTGGTTTTATAGCAGGCTATAATATTAGTATAATAGCATAAACAGTATAATACTTGGTTTTATAGCAGGCTATAATATTAGTAAAATAGGCTACCCATAAATATAATACTTGTTTTTATAGCAGGCTATAATATTAGTATAATAGTATAAATAGTGTAATACTTGTTTTTATAGCAGGCTATAATATTA